CCCCCGGCCGACGCCCCCCGCCCAAGGCTCGGGCTACCCCGCCGGGAAAGACAAGTTCAGCAATCGGACGCCGACCAGCCTCGGCGCGGCCGCTGCGCGGGTCAGGGGCCCGGGTGGGGGGGCTGCTCCCAAGGTTCCCCCCAGCCTGGCGCTCGAGGGCCGGTCGCTGGGCCCCGAGGGGCACACGAGGCTACCCGGCTTCTCCCCTCCGCTCCCCTCGGCGCGCAGAAACGACACGGAGACAGAGTGCGGGCGGCCGCGGCCGGCGTGATGCTCAGGCGGGCAGCAGCCCGCGCGCGCGCAGCTCGAGCAGCGGGGACAGCGTGTAGCGCAGGCGGCGGAGCGCGGCGTCCGAGCCCAGGCGCGCGAGCTCCCGGCGGACGGCGTCGGGGCGCCGCAGCAGCACGCAGAGCAGCGCCAGCGCCAGGAAGCCGAGCGGGAGCAGCAGCAGCGCCCGCAGCGCACCCTGCGCCCACAGCCTGCGGACGGACGGACGGACGATGGGCGGCGGGAGGGCACCGAGGAAACCGCTGCCCGCGCCCGCCGCCCGGCTCACCAGAAGCCCCTGGAGCCCGCGCCGCCGAACAGCCGCTTCTCCTGCGGGCAGAGGGAGCGGCGTCCAGCTCCGCGCCAGGGGAGGGGCGCGGGCGGGAGTCGCGGGGCCAGTCCCCATGCATCGTGGGCTTCCCGTGGGGGCCGGGTCCCGGGGGGCGGGTCCTCTGGGGGGCGGGTCCCGGCTCCAGCCCGCCCACCCGGGCCTGCACTCACACAGTCCGCCCTGGCCACCTCCTCCATGAGCGAGCCCGCGCAGTCCTGCACCCAGCGAGGCCGCGAGTCACTCCTGCGGGGGCGCGCACGCAGGTGGGCGATCTGCCCGGCCCCGCCGCCCCAGCGCACCCAGCTGTCCCAGCCGCCTTACGGTTCCAGGCCGCCCCGCGAGGCGTCCAGCGCAGCCGCCGCCTCCATCACCTTCCCCTGCAGCTCCTGGAGCGGGTGGGAGCGAGGACTCAGGGCGGAAGTCCGGCCGCCGCCGGTCTGGGGGTCGCGCGGGGGGCGCTCTCAGGGCGCAGGGGCCGCACCTGCAGAACTCCGCTCTGCTCCTGAAAGCTGGCCCAGGCCTCTTCAGTCCGCTGCTTGCCCTGGGGCGTCGGGAACCGGGTGAGACTCGGGGGGCGCGTCCCTCCCCACCCGCCCGTACGCCACCCACACCCGAAGCCGACCCTCCCCCTGTTGCCCCGGTTCCGCCCGCACCTGCCGCAGGCTCTCGGTGTGCAGGGCGCACTTGGCCTCCACCAGCTCCAGCTGTTTCTTTGGGAGGATCCGGGGAACGTCAGGAGCCGGGCACGCCCCGCCCCCGGTGGTCTGGCCCTGCCCTTGCCACCGCTCCGGCCCTCGAGGCCCCACCCCTCGGTGGTCTGACCCCGCCCACGCTTCCGCCCCGCCCGGACCCCAGGGCTCTGCTCCAGCACCTGCAGCACCAGCAGCTGCATCCCGAGTTGCTGCTCCGCGCTCTGCTGACTCGGCTGTTCCGCTCCGTAGTAGAAGAGCTGGGGGCGGGGCTTGTGAGGGCAGGGCCTACGGGACTTCTAGGGACGGGGGGAGGGAGGGTGGTCCTGGGGGACGGAGACCAGAGCGGGACTTCCCAGAGGAGCCCAGAGACGGAGACCGTCCCGTTTCTGCGCGTACCTGACTCGACAGCTCCTCCCACTGCTCCTGCAGCTGCCGGTTGTGCTGCTCCTGCGGACAGGGCCGAGGGGGCCGTCCGGAGCTCTCCGCCGGCCCCGCCCCACCCAGGACCCCCCGGGCCCCTCCCCACCCTGGGCCCCGCCCCACCAGGTCCAGCTTGTGCCGCTCCGCCGCCTCCAGCAGTCCGCGCGCCCGCTCCGCGCGCTCCCGCGCCACCGCGCACGCCTCCCCGCGCAGAGCCCGCGCTGCCTGGCTCCGCCTCCGCTGCAGGCTGCAGAGAGAAGCCGAGGCCGCGGAGGGGGCGGTGGCGCCCGGGGTCCCGGGGTTCCGGGAAGGACCAGCCGCAGGCCCTGCGTCGGGGCCGCGGAAGCCCCCGCCGGGGCCCGGGCGGGTAGGCCGGACACTCCGCGAAGCCCCCGCCCCGTCCGGGGGCGCCCCGCGCACCTGCGCTCGCGCTCGCGCAGGTCGTGCAGGCGCCGGGTGAGGCTCTCGCTCTCGGCCTCGAGCCCGCGCACCAGCTCGTCCAGCTCCTGCTTCCGCAGGCGGCCGTCGCGGTTGTCCTTCTGCAGCTGCAGCAGCAGCTCCTGCGTCTCGGCCATGGCTCCCGGCTCTGCCGCGACGCCCCCTCGGGGACGGCCGCGTCACAATGGGCCAGGGGCGCCCGTCCGCGGGCTCCGGGCGGGCGGGCGGGGCATGACCACCTGGGTCCATCAGTGATGAAAATGTTGCTAAAGAGCCATCATCGGATCCATGAAAGGTTAATAAAATACTAACAACTAATTCAGGCAAACTGAGGCAAGTTTGGTCCCCCCACACTGCAGATGGCACTTGCAAACTGGCCAATGTCTCTTGTGGAGAAGGCTTGAATAAATACCAGGATCGGTAAACATGTTCATGTCTTTTGACCCAATTATCCCATTCCCAGGAATTTATCCCAGGAAGCAAAGAAACGTTTTAAACCCACTATGCATTAAATAGTTCGTTGAAGTGGTTACATTAACCACAAAAAAGAAAACAATTGTAATGATTAAAATGATGTATTTGAATATCATGTGGCCTGCGTACAGCTGTAATGTCTAGCGAAAAAGTACAGTATGGTTTAGCATTTATGCTAACTACGACTGTAAGGTACATGGGGAAGATCTGTAAAGCAAACAGGAAAAAGACAAGCCATCTCACTGTTTACTGAGACTGTAGGTAAATCTGCCTTTATTTGGCCAGTTTCAATTAAGAACTTGGATGCAGAACTCCAAAGTAAATTATTAGCTAACCAAATCCAAAGAGGTACCAAGAAAAAAAAAAGATGCATGGAAACCAAACAGACTTTATTCCAAGGAGTGTTCAAGATCAGAAAAATCAATTATGTTCACCACGTGGACAAAGGGGCAAGAACACCACCATTTCAACGACGCCCTTCAATGGATACAGACAAGATGATCAAGTTAAATATCTATTGATAATTTTAAAAAGCTCTTATGAAAGAGGATAGGAAAGGACTGTGTCACCTGATAAAGGCTGTGGTAAACACAAGAGTAAGGGGGAAGTACGAGAAGGGTACCCTTTAAGATTTTTGGAGACAAGAGCAACCCTCCTGCTGAGGTCCAAGATGATGTCAGAGGGCCGTGAGGAAGCAACACGTAGGACAGCATGAAGCACACACACACAGTTGGCTCCTACCAACCTCTTAAAGTGGCTCCCTTCCTTCCTCCTTGCCAGTACAAGCTCCTTAGCTCACTCCTTTGCAAGGATTCTGTTCTGGGGAGCCCAGCCCGTCCTCTCCTGGCTCCAGGTGTAACAGAACAGGTCTAAGCCATCTGTGGCTGTCTTGCTTTCCTGTCGTAAGATCCTACCTGAGAAACACTAGAAGTTGGCTGGGTGCTTCTGGGAGGTTTGCCTCCCTGCAAAAGGCAACACTGGGGCTCACGTCTGTAATCCTAGCTCTCTGGGAGGCCGAGGTGGGCGGATTGTTTGAGCTCAGGAGTTTGAGGTTGCTGTGAGCTAGGCTGACACCACGGCACTCTAGCCCGGGTAACAGAGTGAGACTCTGCCTCAAAAAAAAAAAAAAAAAAAAGAAATGTCAAAAGTAGATCTTTAGAGAGAAAGAAAATGCTATAGGTCAGAAGCTCAGACTACATTTTTTTAAAAAAGGAAGAACATTAGAAAATGAGTGAAGGTAATATAATAACTTTTTTCTTATTAAATAATCTAAAACAGTTTGATCAAAATAGTAATAGCAACAATGTATTCAAGCATAACTTGTATATAAGTGAAATGAATGACAGCAGTGATACAAGAGACAGGAGGGACGGAGTAGAATTATTTTATTATCAGACACCTGATACCCGTGAAGCAGTACAGTGTCATTTGAAAGTGGACTTGAATTCGTTGTGTGTATTGCAAACTTGAGGGCAATCACTTAAAAAGGTGTTTTTAAAAAGTGTAACTGATATGCTAAGGAAAGAAGACGGAATACTATAAAATGTTCAATTAAAGGAATGAAAAGCAGAAAAAAGAGTGGAGGACAAAAATACGAACAAAGAACAAGAGCAAAAAACAGTAACAAATATGATAAAATCCAGCCATACCAATAATCACTTTAAACATCAATGGTCTAAAATATATCAGTTAAAAGTATTTAGAAGAAAATATGAGAATGTCCTTATGATTTCAAGCAAGAATGGATTTTTTTAGGACACAAAGCACATTTCTTAAATTTGATGAAATTTTATACACAGGATTCCATAAGCAAATTTAACCAGACAAAAAAACTTAAAGAACGCCTACGAATCAGTAAGAAAACAATTGTTTCAAGGCCATAGCAATCTCATGTATATGTGCACGAGGAAATACACCCCACAATTTCACTACCCAAAGACTCGGTAGAGCAGTATTTGTAGCAGAGAAAATGAAACCCAAGATTCATTTCCACGAAGCAGAACTTTTCACATAAATAAAACGTGCAATGCCAGCATCTGGCGCCCAGCCGCAGAGAGAGCAAAGCGGACCACAGGGAGGAACGTCCGCGGCACGCGTCGGGACGGGGACCCACCCACGGGGAGGTCAGGACGCTGCGGGGCCACAGGAGTCACAGACCCCCCCCTCACGAAGGAAACCCCCCCGGCCGACGCCCCCCGCCCAAGGCTCGGGCTACCCCGCCGGGAAAGACAAGTTCAGCAATCGGACGCCGAATATAGAAGACAATGTCTTCATGACCTTTGGGTACACAAAGACTTCTTAAATGGGACCGAAAAACACTAATCAATCATAAAGGAAAAAACTTAATTTTGACTATGAAGAAGCATGCTACAGACTTGGGAAGATATTTGCAGTATGTGTATCTGTTCAAAGGATGTAGATCTAGAATAAATATATGAAGAAAAATCAGTAAGAGATAACTGAATAGAAAAATGAGCATATGACTTAAACAGGCATTTCATAAGAGATTATTCAAATAGCCAAAAAACATATGAAAGGGGTTTCAACTTCCTTACTCATCAGGGAAGTGCAAATTAAAGCCACAATGTGGCCCTGTGCAGTGGCTCACGCCTGTAATCCCAACATTTGGAGAGGCTGAGGCAGGAGGATTGCTTGAGTCCAGGAGTTTGAGGTTGCTGTGAGCTAGGCTGACGCCATGGCACTCACTCTAGCCCGGGCAAAAGAGTGAGATTCTGTCTCAAAAAAAAAAAAAAAACCCAGATGGGTTTAAACATTCATGGAAGAAGCAATGCCACCCTCTCACACAGAATAGCCAGCATAGCCCTGACATTAAATGAAGAACATTCCAAAAAGAAAATTATAAAGCAGTATCCCTCTTAGGAACATAGTTGCAAAAATCCTTAACACAGCATTAGCAAATTGAACATACTGTATAAGAAGGAAGATGCGTCATGACCAACTGGGGCTAACAAGGCATACCAAAAGGCAAAAGCCGCACTTGAAGACACAGAGGAAGCATTGGCACCAGAATCAGATTGGCAGGAATCATGGAGTCATCCGCCAGGGAATTTAAAACAACCATGACGAAGGTGCTGAGGGCTGTGATAGATACAGTACACAGCAGGCTGTAACAGATGGGCGAGGTAAGCAGAGATACGCCTAAGAACAGAAATGTAACAGAAATGGAGAATGCTTTTGATGGGCTTATTAGAAGACTGGACATGGCTGAGGAAAGAATCTCTGAGCTTGAGGATATCGTAATAGAAACTGCTGAAACTGAAAACAAATACTGAGGGGGAAAGTAGAACAGAATATCCAAGAACTGTCGGACAACTACAGACTGTAATATGCTCATAATGGGGACACCGGAAGAAGAATAAAGACACAAAGGAACAAAAGCAATATTGGATGCAATAATGACTGAGAATTTTCCCAAATTAATGTCAGACACCAAGGCACAGAGAACACCAAGCAAGATAAATGCCAAAAAGACTACACCTGTGCCTATCATATTCAAACTGTAGGAAATCAAAGAAAAAAAATCTTAAGCCAGAGGGACAAAAAAACACCTTGCCTATAGAGGAGCAAAAAAAAGAATTATATCCAACTTCTCTTCAACAACCATGCAAGCAAGAGAGTAGAGTGAAATATTTAAATTGTTGACAAAAAAAAAAAAAACCCTGCCAACCTGGAATTCAGTATCCTGCAAAACTATGATTCAAAAGTGAAGGACAGGCGAGCGAGGAGGCTCACACCTGTAATCCTAGCACTCTGGGAGGCCAAGGAGGGAGGATCACTTGAGGTCAGGAGTTCAAGACCAGACTGAGCAAGAGTGAGACCCTGTCTCTACTAAAAATAGAAGAAACTTAGTGACTACTCAGGAGGCTGAGGTGGGAGGATCGCTTGAGCCCAAGAGTTTGAGGCTGCAGTGAGCTATGATGACACTACTGCATTCTAGCCTGGGCAATAGAGCAAGACAACTGAGGGAATTTGTCAACAATAGACCTGTCTTGCAAGAAATGTCAAAAGTAGGGCCAGGCGTGGTGGCTCACACCTGTAATCCTAGCACTCTGGGAGGCCGAGGTGGGTGGATCATTTGAGCTCAGGAGTTCGAGACCAGCCTGAACAAGAGCGAGACCCCGTCTCTACTAAAAAAATAAAAATAAATTAGCTGGACAACTAAAAATATATAGAAAAAAATTAGCTGGGCATGGTGGCAC